TTTAGATATCATTGGTAATGACATTTGGGAAAGGAGAGACGGTGTATGAGGTCATTTGATACCTGTCCCTTCATTTAAAGAAATGTGCCTATGAATTTAAACAAACAGGACCCAAGTAAACAGAATCATTTTCCTCTTTATATGTGAAATGTGAGTGACTACGTTGGTATTGTACCAGTTTTTAGGAACATACCTTTGGTTTGTCTGGAGCTAAATTTCTGAAAGCCAATCTATCACTGTTAATCATGATAATATCTTATTTTCCACTCCATCTCATTTGCTTGTATAGACATCATTTGTTACTCTGGATGAAGCAATCAAGATAACAAACAGACGTGTGAATGCTATTGAACATGGTAAGTAAAACGTGATGATATGGAAAACTGTGGGTCATTTCTGTGCTGGTTGCACAATTGGTATCTACTCATTCCCTGAATCATTAGACAGGCATTGTTCCCTGATATGTTTCATAGTATCAGAGTTTTAATGTCCCCACTGTGACTGGCTCCTCCTCCAGATCAGACTGACATGCAAAAAGGTCTGCTCGATCGGCCAAAGAAGGCCCAGGGGAGCCTGCCATTGCAATGGAATCAGCAGAGGAGAATTCCTGGCCTTCATTCTCACTCTAACATTGGAAGTTCCTGACCAGGTTGAACCCTGAGCGAATAATCCCCAGGGGAAGCAGGCCTGCCTGTCTGGGTCTGTAGATGACCCCTAGAAAAATGGCATCTCTGTCTAGGCCCGAACGCTGCTTAGTCCCTTGCCTAGAGTAAGGCTTGCTTGCTCTGAAGGCCTCCCTGGCTGCCTTGCCAGCCTGTCTGGTACAGGCCCTGCTGGTGGAAGGACCAACTTGCTGTTCCTCAAGGGCCCTGTCTGCCATGATTAAATGTGGGGATGTAAGGCCTGAAAGGAAACTTTCCCCCATTCACCACCTCAGACAAACAGCCTTAGCGCTCTGGTGCAGAGGCACTGAAGGCAAGGGCAAGCAAAGCTCAACAGTCCTTTGATTGTGAAGGAGAATGGTGCGAGCTCCAAGCTCCCAGCACTCACGCACGTTAATTAATGTGGGGCACGACCATGTGGGCCACCAACCTCCGCTGCTGCCCTCAGCTGTGATGGAGCAGCTGTGAGTAGGTAAACCTGCCAGAAGTCCGGACAGGAGGCTTCTAGCGGCGACCTGCAAGAGACAGGCAATCAGGCTGCTGTAGCTGCTTTTCACGGCAAAAGTAGGTCAACAAAATGGTGGCTGGAACTTTTACCTTCTCAAAATGGCCACCACCACATGGGACCCATCTAAAATGGCCACCCGCCTACACCGGAGAGCTCTGAGGCTCCGTGCCAACATCCGGTTCACTCAGAAGCACGGTCAACAGCAACGGAGGGCTCAGCAGCGGGATCACTGCGATTGCGCTGGCATCGGCACTCCGACCTATGCGCCTTTCCCAACAGCTGCCTGCAGCCTCACGGTGCCCCAGCGAACCCAGGACACCAGAGGGGCTGAAATTGGCGAGAACCAGGGAATTAAATTCAAGGGAGACTCACCAAGCCTGCTCCAATAATCAGGAAGTAGAATAGAATCTTTTTGAAGTAAATAGAAAATTAGAGAGTCCAAGCAGCCAATTAGGAATGAAGAGAAACTGGAAGCGCGTCCACTGGACTCAGCTGAAAATCTGAAGCCTAATCGACACCAAAGGCATGGCTTAAAGTTTCAATTCAGTCCTGGGCAGATTGGCTGTATTTAACCCATGCTTGGACTCTCTAGAGCAGCGCCCAGGAAAAGAAGGAATTTACGTACAGATAGTCCTCAGCTTATGATCACAAAGGAACCTTTTCAGTCTTAAGTTGTAGTTGTTACTGGACTTAATTCTACAACTGTTTTTACACCATGATTATAGTTATTAAGTAAATAATATGCTCTATAGCAAATCATGTGATCGTTAAGCAAATTTATTCTTCCAAATGGGTATTGTTTGCTGGAAACTGCCAAAATACCGTCACTATGGTTTACTGCAAACTGGCTGTGAATGTGAGCCATGTGCCTGAAATGCAGTGACCAAGGGAGGCAGCAGTTGTAATTTCAAAGACGGGTCATTAGTAGCTGTTTGGAAATCTGCCATAACTTTGAACTGTTAAGGGATTGATCGTAAATTGAAGACTACTTGTATAAGCTTTCATATCCCACATAGCACAAGCTCTTCTTTTAAAATTGTGTGTGATAGTAACAACTATCTTTTATGCAGTGATTATTCCTAGAATTGAACGTACACTGTCTTACATCATAACCGAGTTGGATGAGCGAGAACGAGAGGAGTTTTACAGGTGAGCCAGCAAGTTAGATATTGAGTATTTTGAATCTAGGAATATTTTTGGATTTCTGATGCAAAGTGCAGATCATCAAAAATGCCTGCATTAAAAATCCTGTAGAAGCCAGAGTTTATCATTTTTACCCTCCAATTTTGGCAACAATTAACCTTGGAGTGAAAGCAACATGGTCAAAGTCACTAACTGAGGTGTGATGGTTGAGGTGGATTTGAACCTGGATCTCCTTGTTCCTTATCCAATATCTTAAGACACTACACCATAGTGTCTACCTTAACACTTGCTGGGAGACTGAAGGGTGTTTTGTGAGGTGGTTAGTTTCAAAGCAAGGCTTTGTGGTCATGAAGTTGCTACATGTACTAGGTGTCCTTGAGAATTGCTAGAGGACCAGCAACTTTGACCTTAAAATCTAATCCAGGAGACTAGATTTTAAGGACAACTCCTTTTTGTGACACATGTAAGGGATTACAAGGTCCATGATTGGGGTGCCATTAATGAGAGGACCCTACTCCTAACTACATTGTGAACTAAAATCTGAGCACAGCCTTTCCAACTGATTTTAGTGGACACTTTGGATGGTATATAGGGTGATTTTTAAGTAGTTGGATATTACAATGCAAAAATTATTACTGCAAACTATTTATGGCATATCTCAGTACTGTGATGGCTTCTATAGTATTTTTTTTTGAAAGCTGTCTTTTGAGTTAGTTAATCATTGAAAACAGTTTGCCTTTGAGAAAGTTGGTCATTCCTACTCAGTTAATTTTGCGTAGGTAAAGCAGACTATGTAAATCAAAGCTTTGTTTGGAACAGACTAAGCTAGATTAACTAAGGGATACCTTCATTGTTTCTAAGGTGGATAATGTGAATGATATTTACATGTAATCCAAGCGAAATAACCCAAGATTAGATTCCTGTGTACCTTGATAGCCTCCTTTCCTCCTCCTTCAATGTATTCCTGGCCATTACAATAAATAAGAATCCACATTCCAGTTGAAAATAACTTTTAAGTTATTTTTCTCATCCTTTCTGTAAATGGAGAGGGAGGGGACTTTGGGTAACATTGTAATTTTCTTACATTTCCATTCTAAAAGGATGAATAACAAAATCACTAAAGTTGATCTCATATGCCTCCCAGGTTAAAGAAGATCCAAGAAAAGAAAAAGATACTGAAAGAGAAGAATGAAAAATTGCAAGAATCACGGAAGGCTATTGGAGCTGGAGCGCAAGAACCTGCTAATTTGCTTGCAGAAGAAAAAGATGAGGATCTTCTCTTTGAATAGTATGGATATAAAGTTGTGACTGAAATCTAAAAGCCGTGCTAATCTGTGGACCTTATTTATGAAGTTCTTTCTTTGATGTATTAGCTTGAATATTCCACTCCAGACCAGGAATGTTCTTGTTGTGGAAAATCGCTGTTTAATTTAACTACTTGCATGAAGCAGGATCCATTTCCATTTCCTATCTGTCTTCATTCCTTTGGTATAGTTTCCCTGTGTACTGCCAAATTCTTGTAATATTTTTTATTCATGGTCACAGATAGAGACTAGTGAACATTTCAGAAATTCTTAACTTGGAATTATTTTTTTCACTAAAGAAGAAACATTCATTTTAAATTGTATATCAATTGATTGTACTGTAAAATCAATAAAGAAATATGGCTAAATGAAGCTTATAGGTGTTTGTCAAACTTCCTTTGAGTGAGTGATTCTCAAGAGTGTGGTCCTAAAAGTCTCTTGGGTGGTTTACCATTGCCACCCCTCATTCATCAGCCAGAAACCAATGGCTGCTTCAGCCTGCATCGGGTGCTAGTTGTCTTCTTTGGTATCATGTAGCTCTTGACTTAACAGTTCAAACAGTATCACCCCATTTAATTGAAAGACTAAGTGATCGTCACTAGTCAGTACAGTGCAGAACAGATTAATTGGATAAAAATGGATTACCAAAAAGTAATTTGTTTGCTCTTATACGCATTGAAAGCAATGTGATTGCATTGGCGGCCTGTTACAATTCTATCTTGAAATCCCTTTATCTCCAATCTATTATACAAGGGAGATGGGAAGAAAAAAAAGTTAATTTAGTAGACAATCTCTTTTTCCTTGAGTCCCTTCCCTATCGAGATTGGAGAGAAAGAAATTTCAAGATAATGTCAGCTAGATGCCTGTGGCAGGCTGCAGCATAATTGCATTTGCTTTTGATGAGTGCAAGTAAGCAGGTATTGGGGCATTCCAAAGGGAGGAAGGGGTAATTAGTTAAACGAAATTTGAAGGTGTGAAACTGAGTAGTCTGGTTTCTTTCCAGTGGAAAGCATAGTCATGATTTCCTATTTAGCTGAAGTCCCAATTGGGGAAGAGTATTTGTATGTATGCTGATATCAGACTGACTAGTGGAAAATCCTGTCTTTATAGATCTTCTGCTTCTGCTTTATTTTTGGATACACACTAGTAACCAGTCTGTGAAATATATATCAGAAGAGAAGCAATGGAGGAAAATGCAAGAAGGGTAACAAACATTTAAGAGTTTAAGAAACAAGAATTTCTTGATTGAAAATAAATAATTGCATGGGACAAATAGAAATGTGAACTCTTGCTGTTCCCCTTCCCTCTAAAGGCAAATTTACAAATTTGCATAAGGCTCTCATGTATGCAAAACATAACTCAATGCAAAGTAAGAAAGAAGTGAACTTTATTTTTGGTAAGCAAATAAATGGTGCAAGATTTGCTAATTCTTTCTCAGAGGACAGTGAAAAACCTTCACAATTTAACACACAATATTCAAGTTTCATTTGTTTAGTCCGTACCTTACTTGTCATAAGGTTGTTACAAGCTGCATTTGAGCTGTTAAATCAGGTTGAAAATATTCTCAAACTTACTCAAGGATTAAGAGTTTTTATTTAAATACTTTTGGGCAAACATAACATATGGAAGAAATTACCATTGAGAATCACCTGTGTAGTTAGTAATCTCTACTAACTTACCTTTTCTGCAAAGGTGGAGGGCGGACAATGCATAGAGAATATTGGTTATCATGCCCCAGTTTGCTAATCTGATGGATCTGAATTGTACTCTCACAGATAATGACTTGTGCCAAGATAGTTTCCTATTGAATCATTAGAAAAAAGTAAATTGGACTGATGCACTTGAATAGTGAAAGAACTTCAAGCAAGTATAAAAATCAGGTGGCTTTTGTCTCCATAGTACATTGTGGCTATAGGAAGTGCCATTACATCTCTGCAATAGGTGATATCCAATTTCATCTGCCAGCTGAAGAGATACCATTGGTAGAACACATTCTTCCACAACTGGTAACTCCATGGGCACTCCAGAGTTTGGGGACTCCTTGGAACAAGTCTGGATAATGTCAGTGGAAATAATTTTGTACATGGTTAAATTCAATGACAGCTGAGAGGGGTACAGTAATTGCACTTTAAAAGTGCTTGAGGCCTGTATGAATACAACACTTCCCTATTCTCTCTTAAAACAGCCTGAGCTTTATCCAGCTTCTATAGGAGCCTGAATAAAAGGTAACTGCTTTAAGAATTTCACTAATTTTTAATAAGCAGATTCCTTTAAGTAGTGGCCAATCTTTTTTTCAGGTTTGCCAGAAAAATCTGAAACGCTTTAATAAAACAGGGATGTTATGTTCACAAAAGGGAATTTGGAGTCACCAAAGCATGCAGAGTCCGAATAGCAAAACTTCCCATAATCAGCCTTCACCGATCTAGTACTTCCCATATCTCTTATGACTGCAATTCCAGAATTCTTTATCTTGGCTATGCTGCCCAGGAATTCTGGGACCTGTAGCCCCAAATATATCTGGAAGCACCAAGCTGGTATAAGGATATTTGGAACAATGCTGGTGATATTTATCACAACAGACTGCATTGCAGTTTTTATAATTCATTCCATACACTCATCTTTATTACAATATTTTGTAATAAGCCACTAAAATAAAAATATATTAACAGTTAACATTTACTTGAAGTCAGGAAATATACATGTTTACATTAGCATACAGTTTACAGCATTGGTGCATTGTCACAGTTACCTTACAAGCCTCTTATTGTCCTTATTAGACATGGTTACATTCATGCCAATGAAATAATGTTTACTTGATTAAAAATGTTCCTGTTTCAATAGCCAAGAAAAATCCAGTACACTCATTCAGCATATAGCAAAACACTTAAATAGTAATCAATGTCTCTATTTTTTTCTAATCATCATGCATTTTGAAAGACTTCAAAATGCATGCTTTCAGCAGCAGAATAAAGGAATAAATTTGTTACTACCAACTGATCTATAAAATACAATTTTAACAATCTTAATACCATTATTTGGCTTTGTTGCATCTGTTTAACTGCCGTAAATATTTTCTGTAGTCTTTTAAAACCCATCTAATATTTAGTAATTTCTCTGTTCAGCAAACTCTAGATTCTTAGATATTAAAAGGGCAACAAAAACGTAACAAAGGGATTCATTGTTTTGTGCATCTTAATATGTAATACACTCACTGCTGTGTCACATCAATATAATTAATTTATCTATTGCTCCAGAATTATAGCAGAATTCATTGCTCCTGGATTATACCAGAATTCAAGTATGATAGTGAAAAAAGTTGTAGGTTGGTATTCTACATACATGTAAATGTTACACCTATTGCAAAAAAAAATCAAATACAGATTTTACTATCCACAATGCAATCATTTCATCCTAATACTTTGTTTTAAATTGTGCTTGATTCTGGGTGATTTCATAGACCTTTGCTTGAAATATTCTTAGAAACAAAAACTAAAATGTTTCCCTGCCTTTTTCAACTTCTAAGTTTAATCTTTTTCTGATTATTTCCTATCCAAGACTATCCTTGTTAAATTTTTCCAAGATTAGCATAGAGTAATTGAAATATGGTCATTTTGCAACAATAGTTATGAAGAACAGGACATACATGTTCAAAGTTGTATGCCTGGTCTACAAACTTAATTATGCTTTAAATGTTCAAGATGCATATTTATGTCTCAGGAATTATTCCAAAGGCTTTACTGGATGAGGCACATTACTAGGTGATTATTTTACCATCAGTTTATAAATATAAGAATAACAGAATTTGAATGGGAGGGAACTGTTTTATATTTCCATTTTTTATTTTTTCCTCTTTTCTTGCTTGCTGAGGGATGCTTATAATACTGAACAATTTCAGTTCTTAAGCTAGTTTTTCCAAACAGTTGCTACATGCCATAAAGCATGTTTAACAATGAATAAAAAAGTATTATTCTTGCTGAGTTCTTTTCTATTTCATATATTATGAGGGGGGAAATGAAATAACATAAAGAAATAGCTAATACTTCACTTATTCAACTACACATTGAAGTAATTCCAGTGTAAGACAGTATATAAAAATAAAAGCTATGGTTGAGAAAAACATTTATTAATATTCACATTCAAGGGTGCCATGAACAATAAAGTAAGAAAACTAATCTATTTCCAAAACAGCTATTACTGGAGAAGCCGCCAATATTTACCCAATGGACCTTTTCAGTAGGGATTTCTAGAAAAGAGAATAAGACAAGTTCCTAACATCCATATTATGTTACTGTTCCAGGGCTATAACCCGATTACTTAATACTAATTCCAACAGCCATGAGATGTCTTGTACCTACATATAAAAATACAAGAATATATGCTAATATTCACTATTCCCAACTCTAGTTTTCATTTGTTTGTTTATGAAAACAATTTTACATTGTAAGGAAGCAAAGCCTTGTAAAAAATCCATATAAGAATTGTCATAAAAATATAGCTTCCCTTCTAAAATGCTCCATAGTTCTTTGGGATACCAGTGGCTTCCAATCAAGTGATGTAGACAAAAGGGGGAAAATCCATAAAAATATCACATCTCAAATATTGACTTATACATAGAATTCACCTTTAGTGGAATCTCATTTAATAAGCTATCAATCTGATTTACAAAGTATCTAAAGACAAAAAAATGTTTAATTATTTACATTATACATATTTTTAAAAAATTACAGTGCTATTGGATAAAGGAATGTTTAATTTAAAAAATTAAAATTAAATTTAAAATTTAAAAAAATTCAAGCCTAAGGACAACTCCATATTAGTGGCCCCTTTATACTATGAAGAAGAAAATGTGCAGATTAGTTCCTTTTTCTTCTTGATTATTTCATCCATCCAATGTTTCCTAAAGGTATTTTTGAGAGCTACAATATTTTCATTAGATCATTAAGTTACCAGTGTAAAGTAACCTATATTAATAATGATCATGGACTGTATAAATATACTTGCTTGAAGACCAAAACTCTAGTCTAGACAAAAAGAAGCTGTTAGAAAAACCTTTTTAAATAATTAAAATGTGGCTTGTTCACACTGTGTCTAATTAGAAGTAGAGAAAGCCAGACATTCTACAATCACAGCAACATAGTTGGATTTGAGGATTAAACAAATTAGTAAGGATGAAAAGGATGCAATTGGCAAAACCCTTTCTTCACTGGCGTGGCTCTGTTTTCATCGCAGCCAAGAGGATGGAACCCACTGAGGTTCTGTATCAAGTTTGTTAATTAAACGAAGCAATTCTTGATATGCTTTGTCAATATCAGAATTCACAATCGCTGTATCGAAGTAATGGCCATTATTTTGCTCCATTTCTCTGGTTTTCTCTATGATTTCTCTTAGTTCTTCTGGCTGAAATTGAAATGGAAAAAATATCCTATATCAGTAACTCATCTGCATAAGAGAAAGGAATATACAAGGCAGACAAATGTTAGGATAAAAACTACTGATTTTCTTTTTTCTTTTTAATCCAAATCATTTCTTATAAGTTTTAACAAACAGTGGAAATTTGTGAGGGGGAGTCCAAAGAAGTCTATCTTTGTTTTCTCCTTGCTTTTATTAAATTTACCTCCCTATTAACCTAGTAGAAGTCACTATACAAATTTAGGCTAACTTTAAGAACTAGGGGAAATTATTTTGTTAACCACGAGATCATTAACAGAAAAGGGAAATCGATTAAGTTAGAACTAAACTTTAGTTGCGCTAGTAGATTAGAACATAAGCATATAATTTCACTAGTAGGTTACAACATAACTATATAATTTCCCTCTTTAAATATTACTAATGTGACAAGGGCACTCAGCCATAAGGAAGTAAATTGGGATGTTACTGGAAAATATAACAAGGCTGAAAACATATAATGATATACATTACAATGATAGAGTTTTCCAAAAATTTAAACAACACAGTTGAAAATATTAATATTACCTTTGGAGTTTTGCCTTCTTTGGCCAGCAATGCACGAAGCCGTTCTTGTGAAGGAGGTGCAATGAAGATAATATATGGTTTCAAGTCTGAATTTCGTAAACTCTTCAATGACTAATGTAAAAATCAAATTTGTGCTATTAATATCCATACCAAACAAAATGAAACTATCAAAGATTAGTCATAACATGATACAAATTGGAAACAGGAACTGGATTTGGGCAACTGAATTCAGGACTAGTCTTCTTAATATTAGCGTATTCTATTCTATTCTAAATATTGGAAGTGTTTATTGTGAGTTGGACTAAGGAGAAATTTCCTAAGGGTGAGACCAATGAAGCTCACCACGCCCATCCAGTCGGTCATTAGGGCAGAGAACTGGTTGTTAAATTATTTGAATTCCACCTGTGGTTCAACTATTAAGTTTTTCAGCATTACTGCCACATAAATTGATTCTTAATACAACTTAGCCTTAAATGCAGCTAATATACAGCTAATGTTTAAATTTCTTAACAAAGCAGAAAGCATTTCATGGTTATCAATCATCGCAGTACAATAAAGTTTAATCAAAAATAGTCTGAAGCTGTTTGGTCTAAAGCTTAAGGCACCAGCTTAGAAAAACTATGAATTTGTCCCGCCTTAACCATGAAAGCTGGCTGGGTGAACTTGGGCCAGTCACTCCCTCTCAGTCCAACCCACCTCACAGGATTGTTGTGGGGAAAATAGGAGAAAGAAAGTGAGCTGGATAGATTCTCCACCTTGAACTATTTGTAAAAATAGCAGGGACATAAACAAACAAACAAAATTTAAAACTTTAGAGTCCAAAACCTATGTCATTACCTGTGTATGAAGATTTAAGAGACATATCTTTCCAGAATTGATCACCTGTCGGACAGAGTCTATGCTGGTACCATACAGATTCTTCTCAAATTCACCATGCTCAATAAACTTTCCTGCTGTAATATCCGTCTCAAATACTTGCCGTGATACAAAATGATAATCCCTGGCAGCTACTTCATTGTCCCTCCTATTTCGTGTTGTATCTAAAAAAGATCAGTAAGCGGACTTAATAAATCTTGAATAAGAAGGTACATAAATAGTATTATAATGTATCAATTTTTAAGTCTTTATGAAAAAGAACTGCAAAAACTATTTTTCAGTCAAGCGTCCTTGAGCTAAATTAAGAACTTTTATTTTATATTCAAAAGACTACAATTCTTTAAATGAGTTCAAAAATTGTTACGTGTTGTAACATATGACATATATTGTTATATATAACACACTTCCAAACACGCAGCTGAATTAAGAACACTGCTGAACACAGGATGCAGAGAATGTCACATGCAATTGAAATTATTGAAACAAACATTCTTAAAAAATGAAAAATAACTAAATTGGTAATGTGAAGTTTTTTTGAATGAGATGATTTCATGTTTATTAATCACATATATAATAACAAATACACAACTATGTAAGATTAGACTAAAGCATCTTCCCTCAATACCACTATATGTCGAGTGTAGTGAGCTAGAAAATGACATGTTAAGAAATAGAACAGAGAGATGCCCATAATTTCAACTTACGAGGAACTGCAGAAGCAAATCGGTCAGCTTCATTATTCATTAATCTTTGCCACAGTTCATTTTGACCACAGTTCTGGGGACCAATCAGGACAATAGGTCGTTTCCTATTTGCTGGCTGGTGATAAAGTGACATTTCTTCATAAGTCAAAATCTCCTCGTTGTCATAATCTTCAAAAACAAAAATCCAGAATAAATGTACAAATTTTAAAAGCTTATTCTATTGTAAAAAAATAATTCTTGTAGCAGTGACAGGTTGCTAAATATAAATTCTATTTTGCAAATATCAGAACTCTTTGGATTTTAACAATAATTTGAAGTTTTCTCTCATTTCTTTTGCTGCTACTCAGCTAGTTTTTACAATTATAAAATGATAGATGATAAAGAGAAAATGATAGGTAGACAGATATCCTATGTATAATAATATGCATAGTGCCTTCCTAGTCAATTGACCAAGAAAGTAGTATGCATATTATAACAGGATGCTTATATAGCTAATCCAATGCAACATTTGTGTCATACATGCAATAAATGTTTCTGCATGTATTGTGAAGTGTTATATTACAAGTTGCTAATGTTGATACTAAATTACAATGTGCACGTAATTCAAAATGCTATTAATTAGTAGTTATTAATAAACTGTGTTGTGTGGCTTCGAATATAGACACACACACAAACACACAGACACACACACACATATACACACATGCATGATATAGACTGACAAGGTTGAGATTTAAATTAATAATAAAAGTACTCTGAGATGCCTTTAATAGATTAAGAAAATTATTCACTCAAATGATGATCCAAAATATTAGGTGTGGAAATGTGATGACATGCTTTTTGGCATCTTTCTTCATTACATGAAGTATCAAAACAGAAGGTCTATTTCCCATCCAAATTTGTGATACACATTAAAAGAAATACTCATAGATGTAGTCTTCAATTTATAACCATCTGTTTAATAACCTTTGGAAGTTATGACATTATTGATAAAAGTGACCTATGACCAGTCTTCACACTTATGACCATCACAGCATCCTCATAGTCATGTGATCCAATTCAGGCACCTGGCATGTATTTTTTATGGTTGCAGCAATTCAGGGTCACATGATTGCCATTTGCAACTTTCTTAGGGAGCTTCTGACAAGCAAAGTCAATGGAGGAAGCTGTATTTGCTTAACAACCATGGAAAAAGATCACACAGTCAGGCATGACTCACTTAAGGATTGCCTTAAGTGATGGAACTTCACTTGGAGTTCCATGGAACAGGAATTCTAGTGGTAAGTTGAGGATACCTGTAGCCCTGAAGATTAGCATCATTTCTGAACTGCTATGGAGACACTGAACCCTCAAATAAGAGTTACAATTTGGTGGTAATCATGAATGTGTACAAAAACCAAACAAAAAGGACAAGAGAGAACATATATAAGATATATCTTAAATATTTTAAATGGTTCTGTATGACTAATTTATTTTTAAAGCAAGCAAGTGAGCTATCGTAACTATTGTACATTTTGGTAAACCAAAAAAAAAAGGAGGGGGGAAAGGAAAGTTTTACAGGTATCCTCAACTTATAACCATTCATTTAGCAACCATTCAAAGTTACAAAGGCACTGAAAAAAATGATGTACAGCCAATCCTTGCACTTACAACCATTGCAGCATCTCCATGGTCACATCATCAAAATTTGGGCACTTGGCAACTGGTATTCATTTACTGTATAACAGTTCAGCATTCTGAGGTCATGGTTCACCATTTTTGACCTTCCTAGCCGACTTCGGACAAGCAAAGTCAATGTTGGAAGCCAGATTTGTTTAACGATCACATGATTCACTTAATAACTGAAGTGATTTACAACAACTGTAGAACAAAAAGGTCCTAAAATTGGGTGCGATTTACTTAACAACCACTTTGCTTAGCAACAAAAATTTTGGTCCCAATTTGTGGCTGCAAGTTGAGGACTACCATATCCTATTAACACTTCATTCATCTAGAAAAAAAGTACTTGGAAGTCGGTTAAAACTCTTTTCTTACCATCATTTTTGTTGGCATTATACAGAACTTTCTTTCGTTTCTTTTTGTTCTTTTTTGCACACCAAAGTTTTCCTAAAAACAACCATAAAACAGTCAGTTACTCAACTCAGTCTTTGTAGCTGTTTTTTCTACACAATGCTTGTGAAGAAAAATTGCATATAAGAACTTCACTTAAGAAAGACTATGTTAAAGTTGATATATGGACTTCCAACTCTCAGAATCCCCAGGGCAGACATCCGGAAAGTTGAAGTCCACACACTTTAAAGTTGCCAAATTTGAAAAACATTGAGGTAGATGTTAAAAAAAAGGGGATACTTAAACCCGATCACCTCTCTTAAGACAAATCAATTGTCCAGATAGTAAATCCATCTATCCGCTACAACTATTAAGAACACTAAGGTTGCCAACAGAATTTTTTTTGAAGTTTTCCACTTGCCTGATTTTTCTGGCTCTTTGTCCTCTTCTATAGTTTGCTTCATTGCTTCTCTTTGCTGCTGAAAACTTTTTCCTTCATGAAAGAAAATATGTATAAGAATTAACACTGAAAAAAACATAACTTTCTTATTAAAAAATATGTTATTTTGAGAGCATTTCAAAATTGGTTTGAAGAAAACTGCCATTGTTCTAAGCATGTATCTTTCATAAAATTGTATGAAGAATATTCTTCACACCTTGTGAGCAATTTTCTTTCATCTATTTGGCTAGTCAAGACAATGGCATAAAATGGATTCATGTTCAAATTAATTCTAAAACCACTTCTTATTATGGGATTGGCTCATCTCACTTCCTCTGGCAGAAGGGGCTTGCTATGAATCCAGTTTGCTGATGGGGTCCAGAAGAACCTATTTTGGAACATTGTGCCCTGCGAGATGAGATCTGCCTCCACCCTTTCAGCCTTCTGAAAAGACCTGAAGAACTGGCTCAGCCAATTAGTCAGGGGTCCTGTGGGGGCATCCCTCATTGGAGATAGTAGATTGATTGAGAAGATCATACCTCCAGCCTGTTTATATATTGGTTCCTTTTTAACTCAGATTTTGTTAACTTTTAATGATGTTTTTAATGTTTTAATATTTTATATGTTTTATGATGTTGTAAGCCACCTATAGTCATTCAACAATAAGATGGGCAGCATATAAATTTAATAAACAGATGCTACTCTATTAATTTATGTTATGCAATTTTATTGTATTTTATGTCTACTTGTTTGTTTTGATGTTGATGCTCATATTCATTTAGTTGTGTCTGACTCTTGGCGATTCTTTGGGCCAGGTCTTTCAACATCTTCCGATCTTGCACTGCTTTGGGTTTTTTCTATGCTCTGGCTGGTGTCAGCTTTCATGCTGTCCAGCCACTGAGTTCTTTGGCAGCCTAACTAACTCTTCCAAATTTAATTGCTTTTTCTAGTGATTTATTAATCATAGGTTAATCTATTTTCATTGTCGTGTTCTCTCATCTAAAGGACTGATAAAAAGAGCTGTGATACTTTGCTAGTCATTAATATGGTACAATACTAAAATGCTCTCGTTCTTGTGAAAAAGTATAATTTTAGCAATTTAAATAATACATTCCCAAACTAATGTTTATTAATAGGTCCATTCTACCTTGCTGTATCTTAAGGAAGCAGTAGGATTCCTGCATTATGAACATGAATAAATTTAAATTTATTATTTGCTATATATAGTAGGAGACATTTAAGTTGCAAGCCTCTGCCCTACAGCGAATATTCCCTTTGTAACTTCAATACATTTTATACATATTTTATTTAAGACCAATAGCACACACATATTTTCTTCTAATTTCAATATTACTGATTACATTTCAAATATACATGAAAAACTAGTTTTAAAACATGATACTACTGTTGAAGATAAAACAATAAAATGAGCATATAACCAAACATTAAGTTTAATTATTAAAAACCTAGGGGAACACCAGGTCACTAAATTGCTGGTATTAACTGTGCTATTGCGTCTGCTTTTTGTCAACTCTTCAAAAAAGGAATAATGATTATATTATATTAGAAGGCATAATACAAAATAAAGAAAGTCTTTGCTCAAGAGACCAATATGAAGCATTTGAAATGTTGTCATTCCCAGCGTGGGTGGGTGGATATTTTATGAGTGTCCACATGAATTGTCTGCTTTTCTTAACATTAAGCACCTGGAATGAGGCCTGCCAAAGGCTGATTTTCTTCATCTCCATCTCGATAAGCCTGCCACCAATTTGGATCTTCCTGGCTGATCACATGAAGTATATCTCCTTTTTGAAAAGACAGCCCTAACTCTCTGCAAGGGACATAAGGGTCATCAGAAGGATCGTAGTCAAAGTGAGCCTTCACATGAATCTAGGACACAAAAATATACAAACACAAAAATGGATAGGCAATTCTAATGATTAACCTTACTTCAAAAACAGATTAAAACTCCTAATGGACACAACATCTGATGAGTTCAATAGATTCCTGGAATTCCCAAGGAATGTGGAAGGTCTTCTATTAGGTTCCTTGCTGAATACTGGAATATAGAGACGACTAGGGCGCTTAACAGGATAGGCCCGGACTAGGCACTTCCTGTCCACTACTCCCATGCAGTTCTTTGGTTTATTGAAAAGCATAGTGAAGTGAAGTAGGCAAAGAGACAGCTGGAACAATGCTCAAGAAATGACTGTAACCTGACATTGGTAGGAGCCCAGGTTCAAAGCTATGCTGTAGTGATAAGGGCATGGATAGCTCGGCAGCTAATGGATTCTTCTGGGGAAGGATAGTCTGGAAGGTAGTCAGTATAAGTTGCTACTGTCTGGATGAGAATTTCATAGATAAAATTATTTGCTTGTGTTCCCAATTAGATGATGGATAAGCAGAACTATCGAAATGTTAGAAATAACATACTATTATCTGGGATGCTTTTGGACTCACAGATCCCCCAAAGTGAACAGAGTGCTCTGCAATCTTAGCTTTGCCATTTGTGAACTGGATCTGTCCCCCATCTGATGAATTAAAGCAGTAAGGCAGGAGACTCGAAGTTGGATCTCACCTGTGATTAAGTGGGAGCTATCAGAAATCCTTAAAGAGGTATTTGTTCGCCCACTTCTCAAGAAACCAGGCTTCAATCTAACAAAACTAAACAATTTCTACTCTTTTACATTCTTTTTTTGGGAGGAGGAAGGGACTGGGAACATAGTGGGGTCAATACACAAAGGGCTCTGGAGGATATGGACTAACTAAGACCCCTGGCATTCTGGCTTCAGACCTGAGCAAGGGTTGGAAAGTGCACTGGTTATTCTCATAAATGGCAGTTCTTGGATAGAGGAGGTTTGACTATCCTGATGTTTTAGATTTTATAGGATGCACTATTATAAATTTATAAGGCTGCCAGCTCAGGAGGATTTTTTCTTCTCTGTTACTAGTCCTTGTACTTCTCCCAATGATTATCATGGGGAAGGGGCAACGGATACTAAGGAAGCCACTAAAATGTGTATGTCCCAAAGGTGCTTTTTTCAGAGACAATCGGACTTTTTCTTTGAAGATGTTTCGCTTCTTATCCAAAAAGCTTCTTCAGCTACCTTGTTTTCCTGAAAATAAGCCCTCCCCGGATAATAAGCATAATGAGGCTTTTGAGCACATGTGCTAAAATAAGTCGTCCCCTGAAAATAAGCCCACTCTGAAAATATTGCAATACAGCAGCAGCCACGAGGTGACCATGCTCGCCGCCTCCTGCACCTCAAAAATAATAAGACCTCCCCGAAAATAAGACCAAGCACTTATTTCGGGGATCAAAATAAAATAAGACTCTGTCTTATTTTCAGGGAAACATGGTAAGATGTGGACATAACAATCCAGAAACCCTTTATTATCCTCTCCTATTTATTTTCTCCTGCCTGTTAGAAAAGAAACTCACTCTTCAAATTACTGCTCCAGACATTTGTAGAATTATTTAAGACTCAGAGTATTTTTAAATTAAATTTCTTTTTCTTCTCATAAAGCCTGAATACTTCCTTTAAATAATAAATTGGGGCAGGACTCTAAGTAAAATTCAAAATGTGAATTTTAGACTGCTATAACCAAGCATCAAGGAATTGCTTAGTTTTTGAAATGTCAAGTGACTCTGAATAACATGTCTTTAGATTTTAATGTTTGGTTTTAATTTACTTCTGTTTTAACATATATGTATAGATACATTTTTATCACTGTAAGCTGTCTGGAGTCCCCCTATGGTAAGATGGATGGCCAATAAGTTTTATAAACAAACAAATATAAATAAAGAGATTTTTTTTTTTAAAAAACCCAGAGTTTAAACGTCAACTGTGAATCTCTGTTATGTGAAGTTCACATGTCACATACCACTGTCTCCTTAGTAGGTGGAGGCTTATTCTGTTGGCTTGGAATCAGCACAAATGTCAGAGTGCCATGCATATCTGCCTGTGAAGAAAAGCATTAGTGAATTGTAATTTAAATTAATCTTAGGTTTCTTGGTAAATTACTGTTCTTGCCCAACTGTCTTCTTTCTGTATGCTGATCCTACATTTCACAACTCCATTTGGACGTATTCTGATATAAAGTGTTGCATTATTCTTCTTTTAAAAATCGGCCAAGTGTATCAGACCTAACATCACAAGCAGTTTAGCAATGAGAATGGTACCATTATTGAGGTTATACTTCAGAGACAGAGTATCCCCAGTTTTTATTTATGAATTAGCTTTTTATCAATATTCCAATATATTTTAATCTGATGGATTCTGACACTATAAATACTCTGCTATTATTTTCATTTCTTTATGCCAAAGAACTTTTAGAATAGTTTTTCAAATAAAGAGTGGGATATGATTTATTATTTATTTGTGTTTATTTATTTATAATCTCTCTTTATTTTTTTTATAAATAATTCAAGGCAGTAAACATAAGTAATGCACCTTCCTCCTCCTATTTTCCCCACTACAACTTCACTGTACCAGTGAGATGCATGGCACAACAATTTTTAATTAATAAATAAACTCTCTTAGATGACCTGAGCTGAGCGAAAGGGACTGGGCCAAGATTACCCAGCTGGCATTGTACTCAAGGTAGGAAACTTGTTTTAAATGATTAGGAATGCATATGCATTAGGCTGTATCTCATCCATATCTTAATGTACTGTTAATCTGGATGTTTTCTGGGTTAATATTTGTTTATTGCGTTCAAACCAATTAAATTTATTTGTAATTGTGTTGTGTTCTCTACTGTTCCTTACTAACAATATGATAATCAGCCTTTCTTTGTTCAACATACAGATATTAAGCCATTCTCATTATATCTTAAGATATACATGGACATTTTGGTTGGTAAAATGTATTTAAACCAGAAATAGTTACAACACAGAGATTAAACATTCCAGAAATATAAGCTTAGAAGCTTACGTACGCCATTAAAGTTCAGCCTAAACAAAAAATTTGACTTCCATAAATGGGAGTTGATGAAGCTTCAATAACTGATTCTTTGAAACTGTTGCCATTTGTAATTGCCATGCTAAGGATAACATCAGAAGGTTTTCTTTGCCCCACCCTTTTTTCTCAACTGTATTGCCTGAACAAGTCCCCACAGGTTTTTTTGGCAAGATTTTTCATAAGTGGTTTGCCATTACCTCCTTTCTAGGGCTGAGAGAAAATGTCTGGCCCAAGGTCACCCAACTGGCTTCTTGCCCAAGGCAGGACTAAAACTCATGGTCTCCTGATTTCTGGCCCAATGCCTTAACCATTATACCAAGCCATTATATCAAATAAGTGACATAACATACCAGCAAGTCAAAAACCTCATTAACATCTTTTCCACGAATTTCAGTTCCATTGATTTCCAAAACTTCATCACCTTCATGTAAGAGCCCACTCTTTTCAGCAGCACCTCCCTTCACTATTCGACTAATGATGACGGAATCCATTTCATTTCGCACTGTGGCACCCTATGTAATAGAAAGTGAACATTTGAGATGATAATGAGAAATATCTTATTATTAAAATTAAAAAGTTTGATTTGAACTAGATTGAAACCACCACTCAGGCACCTTAAGATCACTCTATCAGTCTATTCCAGTGTTTCTCTACCATGGTAAATTTAAGATGTCTAAAATTCTACTCTACATGCTGGGGCTGGGAAACTTTGAGAATTGAAGTCCAGACATCTTCAAATTGGTCTGATCTATTCCACAGAGCAACACAGGAGACAGAAAATCTACAAGAGAACCATGCATATTTTTGTTTGTAAATGATATTCTGCAGTCTTTCAGATACAGGCTAAAAATAGAAAGAAAAGAAAGAAAACCAGAAAATACAGTTTCTAGGTAATGTTTAGTTTCTATTATTAGCACAACAACAAAAACACAAAATGCCTTATGGCATCTTGTGCCAATCATTACAAAAAAAATATTAAATCTACTAATAAATGTGCAACATCATACTTAGGTTTTGTGGCTCACAGAGCCAGAAAAAAATAACCAGAATTTTTTTTTTCATTTTTCTTCAACTTATCATATGGATATAAAGTGACAAAAACAAAAGTGTCCTTTGAGAAGAAGAGTTGTAATACAATGGTAAAGATGCATGTATCCTTTCAAGATATGGCAGGTTATGAAACACATCACAGGTATTCCAGCAAAACTATTTTTATAAGGTATAATAAGCACAAGTGTGAAATGATATCAGTTTCTTTTTATCCAACCTTTGTGGCAAATAGAATCAAAGGGATTGTTTTGAGTTTATTCCTCAGGCGTTTCATTTTCCCAAATTGTGTCCCTTAATGACTCCTTCTTTCCAAGATCATCTCTACAATCATTTCTATATGCTGTGATGAATATGAGTGCAATTACAGAACTAGTGTACCGAGGCAGAGGAAAGCAATCCTGCTGTGTAGTTTATCCAAAGCACAGCAGTTTACTGAAATGCATTATAAAGATTCATAAAAAATTCTGTAAGGCCAATTTTTTTAGCATACTTTATATGGAAAACAACAGCAAACCTAATAGATGCCTTAAATTAGTCTTTAGCATATTCATATATTGGAGAAGATTGAGAGCTATGTCTTATAAACATCGAAATTATGTTCAATTTTCAATTCAATTTTGCAGAAAAATACATATGAGAAACCAGCACTTGAATCTGTTTAAAATAGATTAGAATTTTCAGGAGAATCTGAAAATGTGAGCAAAAACTCATTATTTATCAGTCCACAAAGCCAGCAGTAGAGTGGGAAAATGATTTATACATTTTTATATATCCGAGGGAGAGCATTTATATTCCTTTTTTTCAGATAATGTATCATAATGTACTATAATGATCAGACCAAGTATTATGAAAAATATGGGAGTATAGTCAATGTTTCTCCAGATCACATTTAGTATACTTACCAATGGAATATCTCTAGCTTTCTCAATGCGAACAATTTTAACTGTTTCTCCTCCATACACCCCAACATTTTCATATATCTTTTCATCTGCCACTGATTCTGGTTGCATTTCCTGCTCAGCAACTTTATCATGAGCCAAAAGTAGTGCCTGGTGCAAAAAAGTAAACTTAAAATTTATTATAGTAAGTTGTACCACTGTGTTTATTATAGTATGTACCAAATAGTAAGCAAGAATGGGTAAAAGTACCACAAAAATTCAGTACTGGAATGCAATATTAATCAGAAGACACTTTTCTTGTATTTTCTTCTGATTCAATATGGGTGGACAGTCAAATTAAGGAATGGTACAAATACGGGCAGTTAACAACCGTAACTGAGACTACTAGTTCCCCATATGCATGCAACAGCAGTTCTGGTTGCAGTTGTTGCAGTTGTTATGCATATTTGTTAAGGGCATGCATGTTTGTTACATGACAGCAATTGCTGCCAGCTTGCCCACTGACATTATTTGTCAGAAGCCAGCAGTTACGGGCCAGTTGCTAAGTGCCTGAATTACAATCATGTGATCACAGAGACAGAACAAGGATCCATCATAAATTTCTCTTCAATGGCATCATAACTTCCAAAGGTTGCCAAATGAGTACTTGCTATGCAATGACTACCAGTATTTCTTGAATAAGGTATAAAAATTAAAGCAGCAGGAAATTATTTTCCATTTATTATTCCCTTTTATTATTAATTCATGTTTTACTATGAAAAACAGCAAATAATTGTGCTGGCCATTATTGATGTCAAGTCTGATTCTGGTACCATTAAAAGTACTCACATGTTCATATTGCTAGCATTTTATAACTGACTCTTCAGAAATGTTCACAGTCAACAAATCAATTTGTTTTACATTTTGATTTTTCATCGTTACAAATACCAGTAGAAATACACTTGTAGTTATCTCAATTATGTAATTACTATTTCTTTGAAATTAGAGTTTTACCATATGGAAAGAGGAAAAAAACAGTTGATATCTATATATGTTGTTTACAGTATATTTTAAAAAACTGAATGTTTTATACTTTAAAACAGATTATTCCTACCTGAACATGAGGAGCATTCAATAAAGAATTAAGTTCCAGCCCATCTTTTTGATGGCTTGGTCTCAAAACATTTTGTACCTGAGAATTAGAACACCAAAAATGTGATATCAATTACCATCCATCATAAACAAAATACTATTTTACTTTTCACACAAGAACACCTTTTCTATAAATAGCGTAGTATATTACACATTGGTTTCCTAACAATTTTTTTAATACAGTAAATGGATAAAAGAAATCGGAGACCACATTCATTTTTAATATAACACTCCCTCAGAGTATTCAAAGATCAATATTCCAATTCCAAATGTCTCTGGAAAACAGCCATCTAAGTAGATCTCCAACTCCTAAGTGTTCCATCCTGAATAAATGGAATCCAACCTATGTGTTTATCCTGAGGGCAGGGAATGCTGAAGTTCTCCATCCTATCTGAAGTAAAGGGGATAAGAGTCTAAGGCTGCTCTTTTTTGGTGGTTTCTCCCACGCTATGAAAATGCCTCAAAGATGCATGGAGTTCTCGTTCTGCTAGGCTTTTGCAAGACATCAAATGCTATTTTATATTATCATTGTTTTACCTCAAAGGTGCTTTTTGAAAAGGTAAACTATTCAGTTTCTTCACTTCTTGGATGAGAAGCTTAACATCTTCAAGGAAAAACAAAGTCCAGTTGACTTTTGAAAAAACACCTTTGGGACAACCATAACCTAGATGACTGAAAATCTCCACAGATACATCATTGTTTTAATTATAATGGTTTGGTAGGACTACCTTGATAGGCTAATTTCTCTTTGCTGCTGCTAAAGTTTGGTGGGCTGTTTTTCAGAGTGAAGTCAAATCTTTTTACTTATGTTTTTTAAAAAAATACAAATCTGTTAGAGAATTTAGTTCTTCTAAAGAAATGTTTAAGATGGAACATCTGTTTTCTTTTTAAAAGCAAGGTATTTCAATGCAGATAGTCCTTGCTCAAGTATGTTAATTGAGACCAGGAACTCCATTACTTTACTGCATGACTGTAAGTCAAAGGGAACAAAGAGAGTTCCAGTTGCTGTTGTTAAGCAGGAACTATGTAGATCATTAAGCAACGCTCTCACATGACTATGTCTTCCTGCTGGCTTTCCCATTGACTTTACTTGGGAAGCTGGCAAATCACCATCAGATGATCCAGGAAATTTTGATGGCTGGAAATCCAAGCACCCAGATCACAATTATGTGACCACAGGAGCACTGCAACAGTTGCAACTTAGAGAACCTGTAATAAATATCTCTTGTTTGGCTTAGTCACAAGTTCAATAGTTGCTGAAGAGTAGTCATTAATCAAGGACTCCTCTGACATACAAATCTGTGTTTGAATTTGTTATACAGTGCTTCAGTTATTTTGCTGCAACTATTTTACTTTAGCTTTTTGCTTTATTATATTTTTTGTGGGTTCTAGTTAATCACCTGTAGTTAAGATGGCAGCCATATAAAATCTCTAAATAAGTAAATGTGCAAAGTATTCAATACTCCTAATCTGGCAATATTGAAACAAGCCAATTTCTTTACAGTGCTTCTAATAATTAATTCATAAGTGATAAAAGGGTTCGGATGTTAACACTGAAATAGCAAAATACAATGCAGATTGTAACTAATGTTTATCCAATTATCTGTAAATATTTGAAAACTTAAAATGACCGTAGGAGTTATGCAATTTTTTAATATGAAATGTATATACCAGATCTATATTTTTATTTAAAGAAGTTTAAACATTATTCAGTAATTTGGTTTTGCTATACAACCAAATTTAGAGAATGAAACACTCCTTGAGGGCATTAAATTGTAGCTGGAAATCAATTATAACAAATTTGATATAAAAATGGAGATGTGTAATTTCTGTGAATACTATTGCATCTATTTATATCTTTAAATACTTTTAATTTTACAAAAACAGTTGAGTGCTAAATAGAATAGTATTTTCTCAATCTGCCCGAATCCCAAGAATTATTGGAGGATCCAAGCAGGATTGAGGATGTCTGGTCAAAAAGCTGCTGTGTCATGCCACAAGGGTTTTGGGGAACTTCTATTGTTTCAAAGTTTATTTGATGTTCCTATAATGATACAGTGCTATTTAAGAAACACATACATGTTCCCTTGGACATGCAGAACTGTAATCTTAACTACTGTATTAATGTAAAGAAATACTTTACATACTTTTATATTTCTTTAGAGAATGAAACTTCACATTTCTTAAATATAGTCTTTAAAATATGAAATAGTATCTTGCAAACCTAAATTATCATACATATTACTTCTGAGATCTAAAAAGCATTTTCTTCTAAACAAGGAAAAGCAAATACTAATTTAATTATGGAGAACTTTTAAGGCCACACCTAAGACCACTTTGGAACAAAGTAATGACTAGTACTTTAATTATTAAAATAAGAATGTATACCATACATACCTCTTGTGCAAGTTCTTGTGCATTGGAGATAAGAGGATATGGGGGACTTGCTTTGTTCATATGCACAGTAACAGCATTGTGTATCTTAAATGCATTTTGAAAGTCAGTATTTTGCACAAGCTGTAAAATGAGAGCAATTTCCTCCTGACTTTGTGGATCTATCAGCGTGTGTTGGACGTGTTTAAGAGAACACAGCAGCTCATCAACTTCTGCAAAGGGAACAGGTGCACTAGTAAGCATGGATTTACTAAATACATGAAATACATTTGGTTAACTAGCATTATCTCACTATCTACAACAGTTATTATTTCCTACATGAAAACAGTCTGGTGAAAACAGTCTGGTGTTTATGGGATAATCTTATGATTATCCCATAAACAAACCATGTAGAATCAGGTAAACAAAGTCTTATAACAAATTAGCTACAAACCAAACACCCTTAAAATTCATCTTTACTTGATAAAGTATGTTTATCAATAACACAAAAGAATTCCATAACGTTTGACAAGGCCAAAGATAATTAAATAAAATATTGAGTGTGAAAATTGCCTGCATCCAGCAAAAATTACAGAGAAAAACATGTCCACCCTCATCCCCAGTGCATCCTTGTGGAAGAAGAATAGCCAGTGGTCTGAAAGGCTCTTGACCATCTAAACCCCCGCCCTCTACCCCCTTGGTCAAAAAACCCAACAGAGAATATGGAACCCATATCCTTTCCAGTATAGCCCTACAAATATGCATAGATGGAAACTGAGAGGAAAGGAGAAACACACAGACTCCCAGATACAACCTGTGAATTCATTATGCAGAATAAAATACAGATGCCTCTTTTAATTATTGGGAAGAATCCCAAAAGTAATGCTTCACTTACCTTACCTTGTTAAATTTATATCACTTCCTTGGGCCTCAATCCTGAGTAAGTTATACTCGTTTTCTGATTTCCAAACTCATATGAGATATCAATGTAGGGAAAGTACTGTCATACTACAATCCCCATAACGATTATCAGGAGACAAGCTGAGAAGGGAATCTACTTCAGGAACTTCCTACCTTTTTCTGTATTTTTGTATTACATACTTGGGAGGTTCTACATAATCTCAAGAACAATCTGCAGAATTGCTCTTATTGGTGCTACTAATTAATTATCCTGAACTTCAAAGTTTTTAATAGCACTGTACCGTGTAAGCTAGTTACACCTTGGAAGGAAAATTATGCACATGTCAGCAATATAGTTGTACTATGTTTTTTAAGTGGCTGAAAAGTCAAGGAATTTAATTAGAGAAAGTGAAGAAGGGAGGAAACAGGAAATTCTGATTCATGGCACACCCTAAATTCTGAAAAGATAACAGAAGATGAAAACATTTTCTCATCAAAATAAAAAAGTTTTATCTCACTTCATTACTTTTGGAAAGCACAGCTTTAGACATCAATTGTTCACTATCAGGCTTTAAAATGGCTAAATCAATTCTAAAATTTGATATGAGGTTATTTAAAGTCAAAAGACTTGTCCCTGTCAAGATTAAAATACTGCAGTGGACATCAGATCACCATTACTTCTATCCTGCCTGGCAATTGATCTCTAATTTTCAATTTATTAAACTTAGGTCACTAACATGGGTTCTCTAATTGATTTAGAATAAAACTATAAATCTAAAAATAAACCCAAAGCTATTAAAAAGGTTTTTTTTAAAAAAGTAAAGTCAGTGAAAGCAGGCTTAAAATTTAAGTTTTTACAGCTTTTTTAAAAGCATAGAAGCAAAGAAGTTAAACCCATCAATACAGTAGGGCAACCATTCTAAAGAACTAAGATGATTAAAAGTTTTTTCAAGAGAAGCCTAGGGCAAATGTAACCAAGTCTCCCCAGATAACTGGGCTGTGAGGCATGGAATCATACAGTTACAGAAAGCATTGTCTCAAAGAGCTTGGCCCTATAGCTTATAACATGGGTATCAAACTCACGGCGTCATGTTGCAGTCACATGACGTTTCGTGGCTTTTTTCCCTTTGCAGAACTGGAGTGGGTGTGGCCTGTATGTGACTTAATCCTGCCCATGAACCACCAGTTTGACACCCCTGTCTTATAAGGTTTCTTTAAATAATAAGCAGCATCCTGTAAGAAGTCAGCTACAATGCGATGCATTGGGCCTGTATATAATGTAGTTCCTTTACATTCTAACTGCTGAGTTCTATCAATTTCTAAGTTACACACAAAGGAAGTACTTTGTGAAATTATTCATGGGTGGGCTTCAAAACTTTTAGCAAAGGGTTCTCTGCCTGGTTGCTGGGTGGGAGTGGCCATGGTGGGGGTGACCTAGTCAGCCTCCTGCACCATGGCAGGGGCAGTGGGTTTTGCCCTGCCCTGGGCTCTAGAGTCTTCCTTTGAACCTCTGGGAGGGCGAAAACTGCCTCCCCAGGCTCTGGAGTCCCTCTGGAGGCCAGAAATTTCTGGAGTCCCTCTGGAGGCCCTAACTTCCAGTAGGCCCATTTTTCACGCACGCGCCCCTGCACTTACCTGCATCCAAAATGGGCCACGTAGGGACTCCTGGGAGGGGCAGGGAGGGGCCAGCCAGGAATGTGATTTGGGGGTTCTCCAAACTGCACAGAATCTTAGCTAGAGGTTCTCTCAAACCCCTGTGAACTCCCAGCAGCCCACCCCTGAAATTATCCAATAGCTATTTACCAACCCCCACTCCTCAGTTCATTATACAAATGTGCTTTTTAATTCATGAACATATGTTTACAAACACATACAATGAATAATTCATATTCCAAAGAGCAGCAGAGGACAATAAGGATAACACTACAAAAATAAGAGAAATAAGAGATTTCTTTTTCAGCATGACAGGAAAGTCTATTAGCTGAAGAGAAAGGAATGTGGCAGGATTATCATAAATAAATGTTATATAATACATCTCTGAAGAGCAATGCAGAAAATAAATCTACCATACAAAATGAAATACTTTCTTATTTTCAACATAATCAAACAAACATATAAAAGGTTTCTAATAGAGCGGATATCTCCACATCCAGGGCAATTACTGGCAGGACCTGAATATGACTACTGTCATGTGACAAATATGCCTTCATGAAAAGTTACTTCTATATCTACAATATACCTGGGATATATAGAAACCAGGTATTTTGGAGACAAATTCATTTTACTTATCATTGAATTAGAGTTCAAGCAATACACTAACATGTGAAATGATTCATTCATTTCAAATATGAAACTGTGAAATCTGAAGTGTCACATTCCGGATGTACATTAGCAATCATACATTATTCTCTTGCAAAATAAAAACATTGTAAGATGCTTACATAGTCAAAAATATTTTAAACAATAACAGCTTAAAGGAAGTTAAAATTTTATTTTGAATAACAATGCTGCTGAATGTTGAAAGATTCCGAAAGATTGAGAAAGAAGAAAATATACCTTTCAGATAGTAAATTATAATATAATCTCCTACAAAATAAAAACACCTTTTAAATGTAAAACCTACAAAGATAAATTATTGCTGTTTATCTGAATAGCAATATTGATTCTAAGTAGAAAAACGCTACATTTAACTTCTAGTAATTTTTTATTAATATTAGAAATTATCTCAGTTGTTAAAAAATGCTCAATAAATGAAGTAAAGAAATGATAACGCAGTTTTACAATTCACCTATGTTAGAACTTTTATCTTCAGAGGCCACCAGGATATTTTTTCTTCCATGTTCCTCTTTTTTCTTTTAAAGTCCTTCCATAGCATAGAATATAGACTGGCATTTCTAGACAATTTTTTCAAGACTATTTTGATACGCAAACACCACTATTATTGAAATTTAATAGTTAAGATTCTAAGATGAGCACAGATCTTCATCTCTGTAAACAAGAATATTTCTATGAATGTATCAGTCTGTTTTAGCTGCAAAGGACTAAGGACCAAACTGGAGTTATGCTAAATATTTCTCTGCAATTATCAAAAGCAAACAATATGGCGAAGGAACTAATAATTAGTGGAACCTTATCAGATATGGAGAAGAAAATGTTTAATTCCCTGATAAATCCTTTTTCTTAGAGTAGTTGTACAAGATAAAAAAGTGGATTAATGACAAAGCATTGTTCTCAAGGCTCAAAGTTCTAGACCTATTGAAGAAAAAAATTAAGAGACTTTTCATACCACAGACTGATAGTCTACAAATACATTCAAAGGATATCTTTATTTTGTAACTTTAAAGTCACTTTTTACTGCAACCATATGGAAATAATTTCACAATATTTCCCTGATGTTTGATATATCTTTACCTTTTATAAATGTAAGTCCTAATGTTATATAAAAGAAGTCTGAACAAACAAGTAAGACGGAAGTTTGAGACTTGTTGATTTTATATGGTTAACAAAGACATCCACTACCAACATCCCTTAGTGCAATCATTCAGTTAAGGGAATACCAAGGCGACCTGTTCTTAACAACTATTATTGATTTAGGCAAACCTTCCCCTATTTAAATCACTTTCTTTAAACTGATGTTTCTCCTATTCGGTTAAGAGAATCATGTCATACTCCACTCAAAAAAGGACTTTTCTGAAGCTCTGATAACCTTTAGTACATTGATGGCAAACTTTTTTTCCCTTGGGTGCTGAAAGCGCGCGCGTGGGTACATACCAACACCCATAATGCAATCCCCCCTGCAGGCCCCGTCCATGTGTGCATGACCCCCTGTGCTCCCCCCATGCATGTTCCCTTGACCCCCGTTTGGGTTCTAGCAGGCCTCCCTGAAGCCTCCTGGGACCAAAACCGGGGGAGGGCGCACCCCCCCATCCCCCTTTTTTAGTCCCAGGAGGCTTCAGGGAGGCCTGCTAGCACCAAAATGGGGGTCGCACGTGCATGCACAGAGGAAGCGCACACGCATGCACACAGTTTTAGTACCCAAGGAAAAAAGGTTTTGCATCATTTCACTAAAGGTTATCAGACTTTCAGAAAAGTTTTTTTTAAGTGGAGTATGGCATAATTCTCTTATCCAAATCCGCATGACCCCTCCCCCACCACTCAGGCATGCACACACAACTCCCCCACCCTGACACAGGCGCACACCTTTCCCAGTAGAGACCTGAAAATCAGCTGGCTGGCGGCACATGTGCAGTGGAGCTGACCTGAGTGATGGTTTGCATGCCTGCAGAAATGGTTCCGCGTGGCACTGTGGCACGCGTGCCATAAGTTTGCCATC